CCACTAAAATCAATGGCATGACACTGGTGTAAAAGTGAGATAAGTGAGATAAGAATCAAACATTCAGCTTTTATGGCTTTTGTCAGTTTAAGTCACACTTTTAACACAGGGAGACAGAAAGGTCCAGCCCACCAGTTTGGAAGCCAGGAGATCTAGATTTTGTTCCTAAATCTGTCTTTTTCATCCTGTGTAGTCTTGGGCAAGTCACTTAATCTTTCTCTGCTTCAGTTTCCCCATCTGTAAAATGGGGTGATAATACTCATCTTTCAAAGCATTAGAAGCCCTATAGATAGAAAGTAGTTATATAAGAACATACTAGTAGTATCATTTATTATACTAGGTTTTATACTTAATATTCTGTACTCTAAACAGCTCATAGAATAATGCTTTACTATTTGCCCTGTATAGTTGAATAGTATGTAAGTGCTAATCTCTAAGGTCATATTTCTGTTGGCTATCACTTTGACCAAACAAGTGGCTGAACTTCATAGTTTACAGGCAGATTTTCTTCTCTCTTTTTTTCAAAGTCTTGATTACTAGAGTTATTTCGAAGCAAGCAATAAGTTACAGTGTTCGCTTCAGGATCGGTGGTATATCAGCACCATTTTGAAGGCAACAAATTCTGCGCCCTGTAATCTTAATGCAGGAACAAAAGGTGGATTTTTTTATTGTTTAGGGGGGCAGATAACTATGAACGGGGTGTGCTAGAAATAATAAGAGCTCTCCCCACAACAAAACCCTATTGTAAAAGCATCATCTGTTTGACGGTATCTTTGCACTAATACATCACACAGGACACTTTCTAATTGTCCCTACAGAATGAAAATAGAGTGTTACACACCAAAGGGACTTAAAAAAAGGTTTGCAAATAAAGCTAGTTTTAAAAAAAAACCCAAAAGGTTCACTTTCTTGACAGATTTAATATTGGTTGCATAGGTAATCCAAACTTGTCACTGTCATTTGAAAACACTACCTCATTTAAGAGCAATACTACTTATAATAATTTATGAAGTCTCTGTGATTGTTCTTTCCGGCTCTCTTGGTTTCTGAAGAGAATTTCTTTGGTAGATAGTTTTTTCCAGTGCAGCTCTGAAAATAACAAGCTGGCTTTACGGTTTTCTGAGTAGGGTCCATAATGAGACAGAAGTATGTCTGTTGATTAAAGGGAAAAAATTGAAATAATTGTGAGACAGAAAAGAACCGACAGTTTTAAAGCCATGATTCCGTTCTGCAGGTCAGTCAAAGGAAAATATTACTTTTCATTTTTGGTGGCAAGTATGGTCTTGGCTGGAGCAGATCTCATTCAAATTGTTCCTTTAACTGTTGCCGTGTAAAAACAAAGACAGTGTAGGTGTATTCTTGCTGGTATCTTACAGGGCATGTTTCACTGAACTATTCGGTCTCCTCTTTTCCTTCTTGGGACTGTGGATGTGTTTTTATTCTGTATTTGAGAAACGTAGGAATGAGAACTGTCATTTAATTTTGGGGTGCCTCCTGAAAAAGGTATACATGACACTAACATATATGTACCGCTGTAACATCGATCTATGTATTTCTCTCAGTTAAAGCATTTAATTAAAAAGAACTATAGAATGCAATGTATTTTAATGTAATATCCTTCATACAAAATATTACAAAAAACTTCAGCGATATAGATGTGTGACGGGTCTGGGGCACTGCCTGGACCCCAGTAATAAAGGGGTTAACTTCAGCTCCGCTTTCCCCTCCCCTTATGACGGGGTGGGCAAACTTTTTGGCTTGAGGGCCACATCGGGATTCTGAAACTGTATGGAGGGCTGGGTAGGGAAGGCTGTGCCTCCTCAAACAGCCTGGCCCCCGCCCTCTATCCGCCCCTCCCACTTCCCGCCCCCTGACTGCCCCCCTCAGAACTTCTGACCCATTCAACCCCTCCTGTTCCTTGTCCCCTGACCGCCCCCTCCCGGGACCCCCTGCCCCTTATCCAACCCCTCCATTCCCTGCTCCCCGCCCCTACTATGCCGCTCAGAGCAGCAAGACTGGCAGCTGCGCCGTCCAGCCAGAGCCAGCCACGCAGGAGCTCACAGCCCCGCCGCCTAGAGCGGTGGCGGCATGGCGAGCTGAGGCTGTGGGGGAGGGGGGAGAGCAGGGGAGGGGCCAGGGGCTAGCCTCCCTGGCCAGGAGCTCAAGGGCCTGGCAGGACAGGCCCGCAGGCCATAGTTTGCCCACCTCTGCCTTATGGGGTGCTCAGAGGAAGGACTGTAAATTAGTGATTGGAAGACACAGTGGAAAATTGTCTTTAGGAAGCTAGGAGTCCACACCTAGGGGCATAGGAACGCCAAGCGGGAGAGTTTCTTTCCTTTTCTGCTTATGTTAATTTATTTTGCTTTCTTGTCACCAGCATCATCCCTTGAGGGAAAGCACTTGCTGGCTAGCTCTAGGTTCCATTCTGCTGTGTCATGCCACCAACATGCTATAGAAAAGAGCCAGAAGGCTTTAAAGAGCTGGGTAGAACAATGCTTTGGCCCAGGCTAGAAACATAGGAATTGCCATACAGGATCAGACCAGTGGTCCATCTAGTGAGACAATTTCACCCATCAAAGGAAAGAAGGGCTGCGTTCTTCCCTGTGCACTTTCACTAACTTAGAAAAAGCCCCAGCACTGCCCACTAACTTTCCTGATCTAACCAGGCCTGTGAAAACCCAACAGAATATTGGCAGACCACTAATAGATTGTCTTACAAAATCCACTGAGCCCTCACAAAACACAACTGTTGAACCCTCTTAACTAACAAATCACAGTCAGTTTTCACCAGACCATCATCTGTGACCTCCTGCTGCCAAATTTCAAGTTTCTGTCATCTACAAGTGACGCAGTACTGTTGTTATTTTTAAAAAAGCAAAAAAGGCACAAATGTTTTTCATAAATGGGGAAGAAAACTATTATTTTCCATTGTCTTCATTCTCAAAAATAGCAGAATTGCTTTGGCTCAAACTTTCAAAGAAAATCTGTTCCCTGAGTGAGAATAAACCTGTCAAATTTTGGCCAGAAAGGTAAAAGAGTAAAAAAGTTATAAGCAACTAAATATTACCTCTTAAAATGGAAACACTTGTGCATCCTTAACTAGGGTCACACTGTGCTTATAGTAACTGAGATGTTTTATTTTATTTTACTTTTTGTTATTCTGCAAATCAAAGAATAATCTTTTTAAAATACGCTATTTCATTTCATACAGATTTTTCAGACTGTTTACAAGAATAATACTTTACCAGAAAACATATACACTATACAAAAATCAAAATCTCTCATTATTCAGCTGAACTGTTATATGGTGAAACATGCAGACAGCATAATAGATTAGTAAACCTTTTTCCATATCAAGACTTTCTTTTCCATACTGTCCTCCCTAGTTGGAGCCTCACCTTCCATTTAACAAGCGCAGAGTGGTTTTGATCCTCTGTACTGAGAATTCTTCTAGATTCCCTGATATAATACGTGATCTCTCATTAGATGAGCATGATCTAGGGCAGCAGTTGTCGAAGTGTGGTCTGTGGTGTTGGAAGGGTACACAAACTACTTGATGGTATCCTACAGATGGCTGGCTCTCCTTGGTTTCAGCTGCTTCTATAGATGTCCACTTTTTGTATTAAAAACATACATCAACGCTCTCTTGATATTTCTTTCTCGTGTAAGCATTTGCTGTAGTTGCGGCAGGATGGTGCATGTTTGTGAATGAGAAAGGAAGTGGTCCATGGGATTGCACTTGGGAGGCACTATTGTCCAGAAGACAATCTCTCTATTAAAATGTTCACGTTCGGAAACAGTTTGGGAACACTTGGTCTAGTGATCTCAATATAGGAGTGGGAACCAAAAGTGAAATTATGATCCCAGTGCTGACACAGATTCCTTCTGTAGGCAGGCAGCTCATGCGGTGTAAAAGGGGGATAAGGGCTAAGACTCTGCCTTCTAAATCCACTCTCAAATGGGACTGGGACCCTTTGCTTGTGGATCTCCACTCTCCTCCCATGCAGAATTGAGGCTCAGTTACCTCTGTGACCCTGTTCTCCTCTTCACCAGACCCTGCAGAGAACACTCAGCCGGTCTGGAGATCTGTGCTAGAAAGGGGGCCATTCTGGGTAGGGAGAAGAGTCTGTGGGACCGGGGGTGTTCTATTGCTTCTCTTCCCTTTCCAGCCCTGTGGAGCTTTCCCAGACAAGATAGCACTGCCTCTAGGGCAGCGGTGGGCAACCCACGGCCCGTGGGCCGCACATGGCCCGTCAGGGTAATCTGCTGGTGGGCCGCGAGACCGTTTACGGCCGTCCGCAGCTCCCATTGGCAGGGAATGGCCCACCACTGCTCTAGGGGGTACCTGGAGTCTGTCACAATGAGGTAGCATGACTCCAATGGAACTGCATCGTCAGGGAGCTGGGCTGTACAGAGGTTGCCGAAGTTCAGAGCCGGTGCAATACATGTCCCTTCCATATGGCCCTCTGGAGTCCTGACAATTTTGGGGTGGGTCCATTAGTCTTTTATTGGGGGGGATCCTCACAGATTTCTCCCCCAGCTCTTTCTCTCACAGGTTTTACCATGGGAGGGGGTGATTGGGGCCAATAATATTTACCTAATTAACCCCCTGGGCTGTTATAAGGATGAATTTGTTATGTCCTGATCCTGTATGATGATAAACACCCTCAATTCCCATTGACAGTAACTAGATCAAAGCATGCTGATTGCTAAAATGTTTAGAAGATGAAAGTGCTCAGTAGCGTTGCTGTCATCATATTTTCATAGTTCTGTGATCTCCAGGCTATCTCACAAATGATTTCACCAGTCACCTGGGGCCTCCCTTTTGGGGTTCATAATAAATGCAATATATGTTTTAGATGAGAACTGAAGCAGAGGCAGCACACCTCATAGATTTTTACCAGCTGTCAGTTCATCTGCACATTAACACAGAGTACACTGGATCTCTCAAACTGGTGTTCTCCTCCTCAGCAAATGATACATTTCCCCTTTTCTTGCAGGTATCAGAGATTTGAAAAGGCATTTCTGCTCGCTGTTGACATAGGTGCTCGTGACCTGTTTATGGTGAGTCATTCCTGTAGATCGCTTTGTGATTGCTGTTCCTGAGATGAGTTAGTTGTCAGCTTTTGTGCACATTAAAAAGGATCAGTGTCATTTGCAGTATTAGACACATACTGGAGAAGGCTTTATTCTACTTGGCTTGCCCCTTGCCATCATGAAACTGGTCAATAGCAATCTAGTAGCTTTTGAGTTGCTGACATTTTCCTCGCCAGGGCCTCAAGACTGTTTTATGTTTTTCAGGAATTAATATATACATTCTTGAACTTTCCTCCTCCTCCTCCTCCTGTGTCAGATGTGGGTGCATGTCATCTTTCACTCTAATAAGCTTAAATGTTTCTAATCCATTCCTTTAAGAAGTACAGCTGCCGAGGCCAGGACACAAGAGCAGACCGTATCCTGGGGATACTGAATGCTCTCAGTGTGTCTCTTAGGTTTCTGTGGAAAGTGACAAATTATGAACGCTCCTCCAGGTACTTTTAAAACAACAAAGCTGCAACGTCAACCCAAGCGGTTTTCCATTTCGTGCGCTCTTTGGCCCTCCCATTTAATTAGCTACAAAAGTAAAATTAACCGTTTTTTAAAAGGTCCTATGTGCAAGGTCTGCAGGAGGCTCTTGTTTTATACGATCTTGCACCACAATGTCACAGTGAGGTCAGATGGACAAAGCCAGGAGTTCTTTCCCCGGCTCTCAGCATGCTGCTGCTATGCAGCTGATGTAGTTGTTTTCAAAGAACAATAGGGAAAGGGCTTGTTTTTAAAAAAAAAAGCCCTTTGAAAGTCTCATTTGCTTGACTCTTTTGCATAATGAAGACATTCTGTTGTTTAAATTAAGCTTTGGCACTAGATGTTAATATTATTTATCCCATTAAGTCACTTGCCCTGCTAGTTTGATCTTGATATTTAAATTGTATGTTAAATGATACAATTAAATCCTTCTTTTATGGGTTATAAAACGTCCTGTCTAATTATATAAAGAGTTCTATGAATCTTTTGATGCTTTTTGCCACAGCTCTAATCATGTGGCTTGTTCCATCTAATTAGAAAGATGTGTATACTATGATAAACTTTTCTAAGTGTGCATCAAAAGAATGAGATGGGAATATCATACTTTTAGGGAAATCATTACATATTTTTGTATTTATTTATATCCCCTCCAAACATTGTTTTTTTTCCCGTTTCATCTCATCTTTCTCCTCTCTCTCTTTCTCGCTCTCTCAATAATATAATCTTTTCTGCACAAGACTTTGATGTAGCAGTGTTGAGATCTGTAACCATGGAGAGGCTTGGGAAATGATTCTGCTCTCACTTTCACCAATTTAACGCCACTGGGCTCGATTCTTGCTGTGCCTGAGCAGAGATTGTTTGCTGGGGGGTGGGGGGGAGAGGGATGAGAGGGAGCCAATCATGAGTTCCTGACTCTCAACCACCTGGCATGGTGTACACTAAATCAGCAGGGGGGCAGCTGTAATTTAAGGCATAAGGTCCCAAACACCAAAAATTGCTCATCATATCCCTTCTACTCCTCTGATACCCCCCTCCCCAACATGTCCCCTTCCTCCTTGGACCAGAAGGGGGAGTTCCATCCCAGGAAGAAGTCGCCCGGTTTGTGCTGGTGGAGATTCCCCTTACACAGGGGATATTCTCCAACACAAATCTCTGGACACCTTAAATTTGCTTTACACTGAGTCAGCCTATGTGGCACAAAGTGAACTTGGCCACTGGAGAATCCAGTCCATTGACTTCAGTGGAGTGACACCCATGTAAGGCCTTGTCTGGACTAGCTGAAAGGGTGTTTTATTTGCCCATTGGTTACATTGGTTGTCAGTGTTATTAACTTGAAGCTGTGATTTCCAAACTTATCTCTGTCTAGCCTTGCGGTTTGGGGTTTGTCTCCCCTGGAGTTTTACCCACCAGTGTAACTATACCAATGTGGGTGCTATGGTGCAATCCCCTAATCTAGAGCATGGGTGTAACATGGCTTGTACCAATGTAGTTACCCAGGCTTAACAGTAGCTTCACCAGTGTAGACAAGGTCTTGTCTCAGCCCGCTGAGTCCTGTCGTTATATTCAGCTACAGCATTATGGTTACTGATTATTGTAGTAGCTCCCAGAAATGATGCTATACTTTAAAAAACAGTCAATTGAAGTATTTGGGGGTATATTTTCAATTTGGTACGTGGCGTGTCCACCACTAAATTCTTATTAACTCTAGAGGTGATTGGGTCCACAGTGGGACTTCTAATCCAAACCAACTCATATTCCCCACCAGGGTTGACTCTAGGCAATCTGGCATTCTAGGCACACCCCCAAGGAGTCACCCCATAGCCCCATCCCTGAACCAAAGCCCTTGATTCTGACATCACTGTGTGACTCCAAAGGCCAGAGTAATCTGTATCCCTGTAAAAAGAAGAACAGGAGGACTTGTGGCACCTTAGAGACTAACAAATTTATTAGAGCATATCTTTTTGCGGATACAGACTAACACAGCTGCTACTCTGAAACTGTATCCCTGTAGTGTCTGTGCCTTATTCCAGCCCTGTTCTCCACCCTTATATTTCAAGGGGAACAAGTGAGACTTTATCGGAATTGCTGGTTCAGAACTTGTTTATGTAGTTTTGGTTCAAGATTGCATTGTAAAACTGGAAAGGGCCCATTTCCCAGACTAGTTTGAATTTAGCCCCAAGATACTGTAGATTTCAACAACACAGCTGATGGCTCACCATTCAGGATTGCAGAAATCTCACAAGGGCTGCTAATTTAGCAATATGTCTGCCACTCCGGGCTGAAATCTTATGAAGAGAGCTTGTGAAACTTTGGTAATATTAAACCTGACCCTAGATCTGGTGCAGTTTTGACCTGGAACTCTATCCTAAATTTGATCCATGTCCAAGATCATCTCCTTAGCTCATCTCTAATTAACATTAAAAGGAGTTACTCTTCTAAAAGTCTACTCTATGAAGCTGATGGTTTGTTCTTTTCTCTGCTACTTTTTGCCCAGAGAAGAAGCAACGACAGCCACAAGTTTTTGTCAGGCAGCTTGAGGTTCACAAGTGAAGTTATACTTGAGGTGCATCCATGAGAAACCAGATCCTTTTTGGCCCTTAATAGAGATTGCTGCCTTTCGTTATTTTTTAAATGAAAATGACTAAAATGTGATTGCTTCATAGGCACAGTGACTCTTTATGATATGATGTTATATACCAAATGAAATAACAATCTCAGAGTAATTGTCATGGTTCTACTATGCAGGCTTCAAAACAAGTTCCCACTGTCTTCTTGGAGCTGGTTCCAACATCCTGTTTAACTGCTGACTTACTAAAGGATGTTGTATGTAAACACACACTTGCATTTCCATAGGACTAGCTTGTAGCATGGCACAGTTTCATAAGTTTCATACCAGACCTGAAAAGCAAACTTAACTATGCAGTCACTAATATATGCTTCCATGATGTGTCTTTACTGTAACCTATACCAATTGCATCATGTGATGTTTTCCAGGGAATGACACAAATCTGCACAATGGTATCCCTGAGTGCTCAGTTTTGTATTTGTATCTCTAATTTAGTCTACAGATGTGTAAAGTTTCATATCATCAGACGCCAGCTTCCTGTCGATAGCAATTCTGAGATGACTTTAAACCAAAAGTTATTCCAACTAAGATCAATATTAAATTAAGATAAATTTTTGCCTCTTTTTTGTGCCTGTTTCAGATCATTCATACAAACTAGGTCCTTTTTGGTGTTAATTCCCACTTAACATCAAACCTAGCCCCTTTTCAGGTGAAGGATGCTCTGTCAACACAAACACTGAAGACATGTAGACCTCTAGCTATTTTAGAGACTGGGAGAATAGCAGAAAGCCTATTCTGAACCTTTTTACAATTATTGAGAGCTGTAGTGGTGGTGTTCTCTTCCCATACTTGCCCTGGGGAAGCAGTAGACACAATTCAATAGCAGCAGAAGATATTACAATGGAGGGCTTAACTTTGCATTTCCCTCCTTTTGTTGGTCTAAATTAGACCCTCAGGGCAAATTTCTGCCCTGGCTTACACAGGAAAACAGTGGCAATTTTAACCATGTCTATGAAAGCAGAATTGGGCCCATGTTATTATTTGAGTATATTTGTAATGTGCTTTTTGTTACATTTGTGCATTAATGGCTCTGGTATCTCTTCCCCTTCCAAACCAATCCACTGGCTCCCTCTCCCCTTCCACATCAAGTTGACACTCTCCTCTCATCTTTTCTTTTTCTTTGTCTCACTCCCTTTACTCCAGCAATACCCTCCCCCATAACTGCTCTTTTGGGGCCTGATTCTGATCTCACAGCTGTTTCACATGAGTGGAATGCTTTACATTTCAGTTACTCCGTCCTGGCTTCAGAATCAATCCTTTTATAATGTGCCCTTGCCTTCCCTGCAGTTTCTAGTGCCTAATATGCTTTCCCTAACCCTGTGCAGGAAGCAGGATCCACCCTCTCTCTTTCAAATCCCCCATCAAAATACACCTCCCCAGTAAGCCTGTCATTGCTTATTCACCACTCAGTGAAGTGCAAATGCTCATTTATAAAAAACGAACAAGCAATACTTACATTTAGGTAACAGTCATAGGGCTGAAATTTTAAACATACAACATTTGGGAAATTCAAAGCCACGTATACCTCAGAAATTATTGTTTATTTGCATGGGGGTAACACGTGGAGGCGTCAGTCCCATTGTGCTAGGCACACAACATATATAACAAAGAGATGGTCTCTACCCTGAACCGTTTACAATCTAAGTATATACTTTTAAATTTAGATCTTAATGCATACGTTATGGTACACCCTTTTCTTAAGCCTTTATAACAAACTATCTTGGGATTGTGAGATAGGATGAGAAAATTCAGTCCAAAATCTATTTGTTTTCATAAAATTAAAAGTATCTGAAGACAGGGATTCATACTGAAAGTTTCTTCCTCAGCTATCACTATAGCATCACTAACATGATGCTATAATAATACACATTCA